TGAGTTAGGGACCTTAGATTGTACACCCCTTGAGGGTTAGGGACTGATGTGAATATACAATATATATGTAAAGCACTGCGTAAATTGACAGCGCTATATAAGTACCTGAAATAAATAGTATGTGTATGTATGAATGTGAGTTAGGGACCTTAGTTTGTACACCCCTTAAGGGTTAGGGACTAATGTGAACATATAATATATATAAGTAAAGTGCTGCATAAATTGACAGCACTATATAAATACCTGAAATAAATATATCAACCCTGATGTTTTCGTATTTCTGTTTTTTCTCTTCTTTGTTTATTTGATTTATTTGTTGATTTATTATTTGTTAATGTTACTTTAATTTCAAGTAACTAACCTATGTAAGAAGTATACACTTACCTATTTTCAGGCCCAGTTGTTCGATGCAGTATTAGCCAGTGCTACTGCAGGGGAGAGGAGGGAGTGCCAACAATGGATGAGCTATTGAAGCCTATGGGTGACGTCATCACGCCAGGCATTGGAGTGCATCTTTTCTCTCCCCTGCAGCTGGAGCTGGCTAACACATGGGAGATTACGTGGCAGGACCTGAAATTAGGTAAGTATATACATCTTTCTCACACAGGTTTGTTAGCATAGGTGTTAGTTGGTGGGGAAAGAGACAGTTTTAAGGCCAGTTAGGTGGAATTCTACTCAAACATTGTCACTGTCTTGAAAAAAACATTTTTTTTTTTGGTTAAAAAAAATCATAAAATAATGCAACTACTGGGGCAGGTTTCTGGGAATAGAATATGTTCAGGGCAGTTAAAAAGAGCTTCTGTAACACTTAGGAACCATTGAAGGTGGCATGACTGTATTTCAAGACAGAAACTGTCGCATAGGCCTCTTTTTCCTGCAGGCATTGCCATTTGCTCTTTTTACCCTGTAGTGACAAGTTCACTTTAGGGCCCCTTGCATACCAGGTTATCTAGGAGCAGTCCATTCCCCCGACATTCTAGTGCGCCCCAGTGCGCCACATGACCCGGTGGCGTAACGCGTAGGGGAGGGGTTCTGACGTCACGGCGCTTAAAGGAATATCACGCGGCAAGTATAGGAAGTGTGGAGATCACACAGAGCACAGTATATTATATACAACAAAGCGGTTTTTTATGTTTTTCAATGTGAGTGCAATAATTTTGAAGCCTAATAAATAATTTTAAAAGGAGATAAGGCAGTATATTGATTCTTTGATTACATGGTACTAACATATATGGAGAGATATGGAGAGGATCAGTAAGGAGTGGAAAGACCTCCTGGACCATCCACATAAATCCAAGAAATCAGGTCTCTGGATAACATCAAGACCCCCTGCTGGAAAAAAGGGTATCACTACACTCATCCATCCATCCATCCATCAGGGACAAGGATACAGCCCTAAAATCACCCACAAGTCCAATTAAAGGGACACAAGCTGTTTTTGACCTCACTTAACGGTTTAGTCAAAAAAAATAAGGTGAGCGTATATTGGTGAAGGAGCACTTAATGAGCACGTATCACAGAGTGGACTTTTGATATATATTTTTTATATAATTTTTGTTTGGGAGGAATTTTTTTACCTAAAATCTATATAATTTTTGTTGGTATAGGTTTGCACATGTATTAATGTTTCACGGTTATGTGGAAACATGCACATGTTTATCGCAGGATCATGTATGATGTATATGGATGTTGTTTAAGAGATTTGTTCACACAGGGTATTAACACATATATTAATTTAATAACTAAATGATTATCATTGGATATTAGTGGAGCACGACATGTTTTTATAATTTTTTATTCTAGTGCGCCCCACTGAGGGCAGCCTGTCAAAGTCTATGGCAGGCTGCAGCTAGACGGGGCTTAACACTGTACTGAGTTGTACCTGCATTTAGGGCTCTGTGTTTTCCAGGGACTCCAGGAGGGACACACAGCTCCTAGACGGTCTATAGCCCACTGCACACTGACTGACCACCAAAACACACTTTAGTTTTGCCTTTTCCATGAACTCCAACGCATTTCACCAAAATAGCACCAAAATTGCACCAAAATCTCCTTATTTTTTTTTTTTTTTTATTTCACTGTGTTTCGCTTTTCCCTAGATTTTCTTTTCATTGTGGTCCATTTTGTACTGCGGTGAGGATAAACGCAGCAAATAAAATTTTTTTTGCCATCTTTATTCACAGGTAAGGTTATGCAATGCACAGCTGATGTTTGTTTGGTCATCCCATGGCAGGAAAGTGAAGGAAGCCCCTTTAGGGTTTGGTTCAGATCTATGCATGTGAATGAAGAAAATACAGCGCTAATTATACAATAATATTAAGTCACTTTAAATAAAGTCCATATAAGTCCCCGAATGAATGGAAGCAGGTGCATAAAAGGACAAAGTTCGATCCAAAAACCGTCACCATACACCCGAAACAGATTGGCCTCTTGCCAGACAATTTGATCGTACAAAGTCGGTCAACATGCGCAGTGTGAAATAACATCAAAACAGCAATCGATCCTCAATACAGATCCCCTCCAGGATAAAAAGTTACTTCTCCACCTTCAATGATCTCCAAATGGCAGAAACTCCCATCCAAGGGTCAGGGAATGAGTAAAGAGAAAAGGCAACTCATAGTGTAGTACAGGTCCTGAAATTTCCACTCGCCTGCTCGCGAGTGGAAATTATGGTGGGGGTGAGTGTGTCCCCCAGGGCCGTCTTGCTGAGCAGACTCGGAGTTTAGGCCGGATCTGTTATTGGCACTGGGAGCCGTCAGACTGCTCAATAGCTGAGCACAGTGAAAGCAAAGGAAGGAGTGTGTGCCGTGCTCTCTGCCTCCCCCTAGAGTGCAGTACCTGGCTCTGTGAGTGAACAACGAAGTACTGCAACTTTTTATAGGGTGTGTGTGTGTCTACCTAATTTCAGCTCACTCTGGTCACATGATCCTCTATGTCAGACAGTGGTGGCTTCAGGGGAAAGGAGGGAGCACTTAACAGCATGCATGTGCGTCTGTGTGTATCTGTACATGTGTCTGCATGTATGTACATGTATGTGTGTGTGTACATGTGTGTGTGTGCATGTACGTGTGTGTGTGTGTTTTTATGTACGTACATGTGTCTGTGCATGTGTATTTCTGTGTATGTACATGTATATGTGTGTATGCGTGTCTGTATGTGCCTGTGTGTGTATACATGTGTCTGTATGTGTGTGTGTGTACATGTGTCTCTGTGCATGTGTTCATGTTTCTGTGTGTGTGTGTATGTGTGTTTGTACATGTCTGTGTGTGTGTGTACAGGTGTCTCTGTCTGTGTGTGTTTTTGTTGTTGGTGGAGAGAAACTCTTAAGGCCTGGCTAGCAGCTCAGGACTTGAAATTTTAAGCCCTTCTATTTAAAATCTAATTTGGCAAATTTATTTAGGTTCCACGTACATCGCAATATAAGATAACCGGCGCGGTAAAACAAGAAGTTTCTAACCAACAAGATGGCCGCCGCCCCTCCAGAGCGCGATGACGTCACACGGCAAGTCTCCACCCTGGACCATGTTGGGAACGTGTGAATAAACGCACACTTTCACGACCCACACAAAAATGCTCTGCTCTTTTCACAACCATGCAGGGATTCCTTTCATTCTTAATGGCACCCCCAGGCATTGGCAAACGTGCATTTTCACGTTGCACCAAACAGCATGGCGGCACAGCACCATGCGCTTTGGTGCTGCACGATTTGAAAAGCAGCGTTGGAGACTTCTTTCCCTGCGTTTCTCAGAGATGAATATGTAGCCGTATATATCTGAACTAAGCCTTGGGCTCCATTCACACCTGTGTGCTTTACGTGAGTTTTAGGTGCAGTGTGATTAACAAAAAGTCCGCTTGATGCATCTTTGATGCTCTTAAATAAAAAACCAACCTCATGTTATAATCATAATGCACCTATAAACGCACGTAAAGGACACTCAAAACGCAACCAGGGGCGGACTGACCATTTGGAAACTCGGGCACTACCCGAGGGCCCAAGGTCAGTAGGGGGCCCCATGAGATGCCCCTGGTACCTTTTTCATGGGCTTTTTTGAGTTTGGGCAAGGACACAGGGGCCCCATGATCCCCTATTGCCCGGGGGCCCCATGAGTTGTCAGTCCGCCCCTGAACGCAACACACCTAAAACGCACAGATGTGAACCGGCCCTAAGCCTAAACATAGCTGCTCGGCTTGCATAACAGGTGTTGGACTCAGGCACAGAGCCATCATTCCAGTGCTGAGAGATAAAGAGACTCAGGTCTTCCCCGCTAATATCTATTGCTCTATTTACTAAAGCACCTTGCCCCAGGCTGTCTGCGCTGTACACAACACTAGCACCTAATTAGTGATTATGCAGGTAGCTTCTGCTTTGCAGCACGGTGGAAAGTGACAAGAGGCTGAGGAAGAAAAACTACAGACAACAGCTGTGGCTGGGGAACAGGAAAACGTCATTCTAATGGTAGAGCTACTATTATTATTATACAGGATTTATATAGCGCCAACAGTTTGCTCAGCGCTTTACAATATAACGGGAGACAATACAGCAACAATATAGTTCAATACAAGAGGGATAGGAGGGCCCTGATCCTGGGAGCTTACAATCTAAGAGGGAGGGGCTAGTGGTACAAAAGGTATTAACTGTGGGGGATGGACTGGTAGGAGGAATAGAAGATTCCATTATTAGCTGAAGGCAGGATAGGCTTCCCTGAAGAGATAGGTTTTCAGAGATCGCCTAAAAGTGGGCAGAGTAGGGGATAGTCTGATAAATTGGGGTAGAGAGTTCCAGAGGATGGGGGAGGCTCTGGGGAAGACCTGGATATGAGCATGGGAGGAGGAGACAAGGGAGCTAGAGAGCAGGAGGTCGTGGGAGGAGCAGAGAGGATGGTTTGGGTGATATTTGGAGACAAGATTGGTGATGTAATTTGGGGCAGTATTATAAATGGCTTTATATGTTATTGTTCATTTTTTGAATTTTATCTGTTGGGCAATGGGAAGCCAGTGAAGAGATTGGCAGGGAGGGGTGGAGGACACTGAGTGGAGGTCAGTGGAGGGATTGGCAGAGAGGGGTGGAGGACACTGAGTGGAGGCCAGTGGAGGGATTGGCAGAGAGGGGTGGAGGACACTATTTGGAGGTCAGTGGAGGGATTGGAAGAGAGGGGTGGAGGACACTGAGTGGAGGTCAGTGGAGGGATTGACAGAGAGGGGTGGAGGACACTGATTGGAGGTCAGTGGAGGGATTGGCAGAGAGGGGTGGAGGACACTGAGTGGAGGCCAGTGGAGGGATTGGCAGAGAGGGGTGGAGGACACTGAGTGGAGGTCAGTGGAGAGATTGGCAGAGAGGGGTGGAGGACACTGAGTGGAGGTTAGTGGAGGGATTGGCAGAGAGGGGTGGAGGACACTGAGTGGAGGCCAGTGGAGGGATTGGCAGATGCAGAACGGTTAGTAAGGTGGATGAGTCTGGCAGCAGCATTCATGATAGACTGAGGAGGGGATAGCCTGTGATGAGGTAGACCAATGGGGAGGGAGTTACTATAAAAATATACTATTTACAACAGGCAGGAGCGGCCTGCAGCTAGACGGAAGAGCAGGAACCACAGGTGCCAGCATGCCCTGCCATAAACTGGCAGGGCTAGACGTGTCTTGGCAGCTGCAGGGCTGTGTTGGAAGCTTGAAAATACATTAAATCTAGGTTCACACTTGTTTATCTGCATTTTTTATACATTTTGGGGGGCATTTTTGATGTGTTTTTATTTTGTTTCACATATTTGGCCAGTGACAAGCAATATATACTGTCTGTTTAGGGGAGTAAGCCAGTTGTTATGGCAGAAAAAGTGTCAAAGACGCATCTAAAGTACATGCATTATTTGTGCGATTCTAATAAAGTCTATAGGGACAAAGTGCTACCAAAAAAAATGTGCAAGGGAAAATTTCATAGATATGAACAGGTACCATAGGAAAAGATAGGATTCCTCATTGCTGTGCGACGTTGAACAGCACACAATGGATGAAAAGGCGGGCTTAATGAACATATAACAAATCATTCTCCACTGCACACCAGAATCAGCACAATGGACAGAGGCACATATCTGTTTATTGTGCAGGATATCAAGGATGAGTCTTGGATGGGAATTATATTTCCCCATTATTTGGGTTGTGGCACTTTTATGGGGGATGATAGGAACACATTTTTTGTACTCAGGAGTTCTCACCCATGTAGGGTGAGGGGTTCCAGAGTAGTGCGGTTGGAGAGGAGAGAACTGATTTTCAGTATTATTAAAGCGGAGTTCCAGTCATTTTTGTGTTTATTAAAAGTCTGCAGCTACAAAAACTGTAACTGCTGACTTTTAATAAACACACACTCACCTGTCCCTGGGTCTAACGATGTGCTCACCCGCGCCGTCCCTTCTCTCAACTGTGGGCACCAGCTTGCGGCTTCACAGTCGGGTGCCCACTGCACATGCGCAAGTCACGCTGCGCATCCTGATTGGTCTGGCAGTCTTCAGGAACCTGTGAAGTATCCCAAAAGACTGCGAGAGGAAGGAGGGGAGCCAAACGTCTGGATTACTTTGCTGCGGCGAACTGAGCCAGAAGTGGGAGCGGGTACCTGTCAAAACCAGGTATCTGCACGCCCCCAAAAAGTGCCAAATATGGCAGTGGAAGGGGAGAGGAGGCAAACAAGCGGAGCTTCCACTTTTGGGTGGAACTTTGCTTTATGTCCTCATCTGGAACCCAGAGCCTTGGTAAGGCTTTGGGTGTGAAAGAATCTCCAACCCTGATTACAGGGATTTTGGTCTCAAAAGGATTAACCCGCCTGCAAGGAAGGCCTGAAAAGGAGCAAGAAGGAGTCAGCACCTGCAAATGATGTAGAGTGGTTCAAAGCTGTGGGCAAGTGTGGACCATCTGGCAACTGAGACACTATTGTCAGGGATCCCCTCGATCCCCGCCGCGTTGGTCCCGGCGCAGGCGCAGTATGCCGCCCGGCGCAGGGACTCGAGCACTGGTTCCGGGCCGGCCGCGGCGTTCGAGTTCGCGCATGCGCAGCAGTAGAAGCCGCGGCCGCCCGCTGGGCACCAATGGCAGCGCAGGGCGGGATATTTAAACGACCCTGAGCTGTCATTCAGTGCCTTCTGGTCTTTCCTGCATTCTGAATCCTGTGAACCTGTACCCTGTAAGTTATTGACCCGGATTGAACCTGACCTTGCTGTTTTCGCCTGTTCTGACCCTTGCTTTGCCTGACCTCTCTCCTGAATGCCCCCTATTGGATTTGACCTGCTGTTGCTGACCTGGCGTGTGACCCGACCATTCTATGCCCGCTGCCTTGTACCTTGCCGCCCTCTCTGTTACCGACCCGGCCCGTCTGACCCTGCTCATCCATCCATCCATCCTGTGCAGTGGGGTCTTCTGACCTCCTCACATCAGACTCTTCCCCGTGGGAGCCCCTTGCGCATACTACTACCACTGACGGACGCACCCGTAGTCACGACCTGGTCTCAGGGAGCTCCAAGTCCATCCCCACCATCAGGGGCCCTGGTGAACAAGCACCCTGGGACTTAGACTCCGTGCGCTGGGGACGCCTATTCAGTGGAGTGCTAGTAGTACCGCCGGGCGGTCCCTTACACTATTTACTAAACTGAGCCGAAACTGGGAGCGGGTACCTTTCAAAACCAGGTATCCGCACGCCCCCAAAAAGTGCCAAATATGGCAGTGGAGGGGGGGGGGAGGAGGCAAACAAGTGGAGCTTCCACTTTTGGGAGGAACTCCACTTGAAGTCCTCATTTGCAACCCAGAATTCAGAGCCTTGGTGAGGCTTTGGGCGGGAAAGAATCTCCAACCCTGATTACAGGGATTTTGGTCTCAAAAGGGTTAACCCGCCTACAGGGGAGGCCTGAAAAGGAGCAAGAAGGAGTCAGCACCTGTCTGTGAAATGATGTAGAGTGGTTCAAAGCTGTGGGCAAGTGTGGACCATCTGGCAACTGAGACACTATTTGCTAAACTCCTGCAGCCTGAAGAAGACAGTAACCCTGTACCCTGGTGTGGGATAGGTATACTGGTGGTGAGCCAATGGGTATTTTCATTGTACGGGAATTATGAACTGCTTTTCATTTGTTTTGCTAAAGGAAGCTAGAAGCTATTTTGTTTGCTTAGTTTGAATAGACAATAAATACTGTTTATAAACGGCTGAATTGTGATCCCAAGTTTTCCATATTATCCTATCTATCTATCTATCTATCTATCTATCTATCTATCTATCTATCTCTATCTCTATCTATCTGTTATCTATCTATCTATCTATCTATCTATCTATCTATCTATCTATCTATGTATCTATCATCTATCTATCTATCTATCTATCTATCTATCTATCTATCTATTATCTATCTATCTATCTATCTATCTATCTATCTATCTATCTATCTATTATCTATCTATCTATCTATCTATCTATCTATCTATCTATCTATTATCTATCTATCTATCTATCTATCTATCTATCTATCTATCTATCTCTCTGTCTGAAGTGTACATATAACATTTTAAAAACCACAATGTATAAAACCATATTTCAAATATAACATTACACTGTGAGCCGAGTGGGGTGCTGCCCCAGGTCTAGATCCATAACACCCTGCACTCACAAAATGCCCTCAGTATTGCAGGCAGAAGACTGAGGACATCTAGAAAAAAAATTATAATGGAGAGCAGCAGACTAGAGGTGACTACTGGGCACTGAGCTACATTTTTTAATTTCACAACACCCGGACATCCTTAAAGGAAATTGCTTGCCATTTTAATATCACTTTAATCAAGCTGATCTATTTTACAGGAATTCCCTACAAATTCATTGAACTGTATACAACTTCCCATTCTTATCTAATGACTATCCCTATCCATCATCACACTGTAAAAACAATACATTCACTTTCACACAAAAACACATAAAAGATGAACATGTTATATATGGATTAGACCAAAATAAGCCTCGGTGTCCTACAACAATAATAATAGGCTTTCTTGTCCAGGGTATGCTTCATGAAATATTGTATAATGGAAATGGAACGGAAAATGAAGCTTTGTCTTCAAGAAGACTCTGGAATAACGCTGATCCTCTGCTCGTATTCACGCCCAATGCCCATTCAATATGGCATTTCCAGCCCAAATCCCATTCTGTGTAATAATATTTTTTAATAAAATGACTGGATCATTGCCTTTTGACAGAAATCGGGTTGATTAATTAAACGTCGGTGCCACGAGGCCTAGTCGTCTAAGGAACCGTGTGGGACACAGAACAGAGATCTGAGAAGAGTATGTTCTGTCAGAGATTGAAATTGCGCCATTCATTGTTACAGAATTAGAGCCATATATTAGCAATTTGTAAATGCGGTAATCAGCCTTAGCAGAGGTCATACTTTTCCATCACAGTCTACGTAAGCGTTCTTAAGTCCTCATCATGCACACGGGACGTTTTTACAGCGGCTGACTTTGGCTTTTGACGTTTTTTTCTACAGCTAGTAAACCCCCAGCATGTTATCCTATGTGTCCATGCACACATAGACTGTAATCAATGTTTTTTGGCGAGGAAGTTTTTTGGCTGGAACGTTTTTTGACTAGGAAAAAAATCCCAGGACTATTGAGTTTCTAGAGGAGTTTTTAGCTGTACAAACGCTCTAACGTTGAAAAATGCGACAAATTGCAGTAAAATGCCGCAAACCAGTGTTTTTGGATTTTTTTGTACCCCAAAAAATGTTTTCTTTGGTAAAAAAAAAAAACACTAAAAAATGCAAATGCGGGAAAACGCCACTAAACACAGAAAAATGGCGCTAAACGCTAATGCAAAAATGCTAAAAAAAGATGAAAAACTCACGTTTTTAATGTGACTTTACACAGCTAATGTTACCAGAGTTATCAAAACGTCCCGTGTGCATGAGGACTAAAATTGCAGTTACTTGGTTAAAGGACATTTGTGAAGTTTTAGATTAGTCAGTTTTGGTAGCCATTAAGGTCTAACCAGTCCAACCTTTATTTCGTTTTAAAATGTAAGAAAAAGTATGGCAAAGGAAAGTGAAACCTGTAAGCAGGGCCAGGCCAAGCCAATGACAGGAGGGGATTCTGCCCTAACTGTGTCCTATCCCCTCCACCTGCCCTTCTCCAGTCTTCACAGTTGTTCCAGAAAATGACTATGGTATGTGAAGGTACATGGGAGATAACATAGCCTTAGCATTCTTCTGGCACTCCATATACTTAAAGCAAAACTAAGTGCAAAATTTTTCTTACGTGTCCTTTTGTATGATCTGAGGCACAGCTGCCTCTGACTCTCAGGAGATTTGGACTGAGATTTGGTGATGCCACTACCATGCTGCTCACTGTTCTCCTTGGAGGAGGCTTTGACATGAGGATACAAAGCCCTGCCTCTAAAAAAAATGACTGTCCTTATATAGGGACCCAGTACAGAACCAAGCACTGGAGAGAGATCAGCTGCAGGGAGACCACAGACATCATGGCAGCTAGTTCTTTGCCCTCTGCCTGCTC